ATGCAATCTCCAGCAACTGATCAATTCAAATCGCGATCAAGTAGGATCTGGACTCACTTTGTTCAACAAACTAATGGCAAGCATCTTCTGAAAAAATACTGCTTTTGTTTACAAACATTTAATTTGTGACAAAGCTCTAATTAATCGGACTTAAAAGATTCTCGTTTAGAATCACAGTCTCACGTTGTAGTTGTGAGCGTCTTCAAGAAAGGAGATAGGATTGATTATAGGAACTACGGAGGGCCGTCCCTGCTTTCCGCCACAGCCAATGTATGGCAAAAACCCGCCCCAAACGCGTCTTCCCAAGGTTTGAAAAGTTCTCAGCAGAGTCCATCCTTCAACACACATAGCGGACATGATCTTCAGGGTAAGGCAAGACCAGGCTAACTGCAAACGGCTTTCTTTAACTTCACAAGACCCTTTGACTCTGTCAAGCAGGAGGGACTGTTGAACGTGGTCCTCAAATTTTGTTGCCTGCCGAAATTCATCATCCTCCGCCTGCTACAGGATGATATCCAAGCTGAAAACCTAACCAATGGATCCACAACGGCTACAATGTGTGTACAAACTGGAGCTAAGTAAGGCTGTGTTATCACACCAATGTTTTTCTCCATCTTCCTTATCACAATACTCCACCCCATCTTCATGAAGCTTCCCACAGGAGTAGAACTAATGTATGGGACAAAACAGGAAACTGTTCAACCTATATCATCTCCAATTCAGAACTAATACTAGCTCAACCTCTGCCATCAAGCTGCAGAATGCGGTCTGAAATGGCCTAACAAGCCACTCAGTTGTATGAATCCAAGAATCATTGATGCGTTCGTGAGACATAAAGGAAAATGGAGCTTAAGCTAAACATTTTTAAGACAAAGATCCATCCACACAACACTGCCAATGGCCCCTGCACCCCAACCCATCAAGATCTCTATCAAGAGGCCATGACCTAATGGTATTATCATTAGCTGAGCTTCTGGAGTAATAGTCTAATGTTCTAAGTTTCTGGGTTCAAATCCCACACCGGAATTTGAATACCACCATGAATTTAAAATAAAGATCTGGAAGTAAGAATCTACAGTTGACTATGAAACCATTGTCAGGAAAAACCCACCTGGTTCACTAATGTTCTTCAGGAAAGGAAATCTGCCATCCTCACAGGGTTTGGCCAATACGTGACTCCAGTCCTACAGCAATAAGGACGTCACTTACCCTCTGAAACGGCCTAACAAGCCACTCAGTTGTATCAATCCCTACAAGTCTCAAAGAAGTGAAATGGGATGGTCCATCTGGCATCGACCGAGGCACCGGAGAAGACAATGGTAGAAACAGTCCTGTCAATCAAACGTGGGCAAGGTGTCTCAGAGACCTGTGAAGCAATAATCTGAGCAAGTCATACTCATGGAATCATACCTCAGTGTCCCAGGCACCATCATCCCTGAATATGTCCTGTATCACTAGCAGGCGAACACAGCAGAGATAGTGGCACAGTGGGATAGAGGAGGGGGTTGCCCTGAGAGTCCTCAACATTGACTCCGGACCCCATAGGCATGGTTAAATATGGGCAAGGAGTAATCCAAGATTAAGGATGGAAAAAAATTGTGGCCATAAAATCTGCTCCTTTTTGAGGTATTTTCAGTGTTGGAGCCAATTTCTTTGAATTCTTGGAGCAGTAATTATTATTTTAAAAGGCATCTGGATGGGTATATGAATAGGAAGAGGTTAGAGGGATTTGGGCCAAATGCTGGCAAATGGGACTAGATTAATTTAGGATATCTGGTTGGCATGGACATGTTGAACCCAAGGGTCGGTTTCCATGCTGTACATGTCTATGACTCTAAGTGGTTAATGTAGGCGCAGTTGCAACATTTAAAAGGCACTTGGATAAGTGGGACTAGTTTAGTTTGGGATTATGCTTGGCATGGACTGGTTGGACCAAAAGGTCTGTTTCCATGCTGTATGATTCAATGACTCTATGGCTGTAAGGAAACCTCCTGCTGGTTACCACGTACTGCTCTCCTTTTGCTGTTGAATCAATTGAACAACACTTGGGCACAAAATAGTCTCTGGTGAGGGTTTTCAATGTCCACCACCAAGAGTGGCTCAGCAGCAGTACTACTGTTTGAGCTGGTCGGGTCCTAAAGAACATAGCTGCTGGACTGGGATCTGCAGGTGTTGAGGGAACCATCAAGAGGGAAAAACGTACTTGACCTCATCCTTACCAATCTGCTGGCTGCAGATGCATCTGTTCATGACAGTATCAGTGAGAGTGACTACCACACAGTCTTTGTGGAGATGAAGTCCCGCCTTCACATTAAGAATAACCAGCATCGTGTTGTGTGGCACTATCACCATGTGCTAAATGGGACAGACTAGACCGATCTAACAACTCAAGACTGGGCATCCATGAAGCGCTGTCGGCCATCAACAGCACCAGAATTGTACTCCAATACAAATCAGTAAAGTGATGGAAGGTGCCATCAATAGTGCTATTTGCACCTGCTCCTGACCTCATTACAGTCTTGTTTCAACCATTGTCAAAAAGGTCATCAGAGGTGAGGTGAGTGTGACAGCCTTTGACGTTAAATCTGCATTCAACTGAGTGTGGCATCAAGGAGCCCTACCAAACTAGAATCAATGGGTATCAGGGGCAAATTCTCCAATGGTTGGAGTCATACTTGGCACACAGGTAGATGATTTCATTGTTGGAAGTCAGTCATGTCAGCTCCAGGAGTTTCTCAGGTAGTGTCCTAGGCCCAACCATCTTCAGCTGCTTCATAAATGATCTTCCCTCCATCATAAGGTCAGAAATGGGAATGTTCACCTCCTCAGATACTGAAGCAATCAGTGTTCAAATAAAACAAATCTGGACAATATCCAAGTGTGGAGCTGGAAGAATACAGCAGGCCAGGCAGCATCAGAGGAGCAGGAAAGTTGACGTTTCTTCTGAAGAAGCGTCCCGACCCGAAACGTCAACTTTCCTACTCCTCTGATGCTGCCTGACCTGCTGTTTTCCTCCAGCTCCACACTGTGTTATCTCTGACTCCAGCATCGGCAGTTCTTATTATCGCTGGACAATATTCAAGCTTTGGCTGATGAATGGCAAGTAAAATTTGTGCCTTGCAAATGCCAAGCTATGACCAGCATTGATAAGAGTCAATCTAATCACCACCCCTTGAAATTCAATAGTGTTACCAAAACATGAATGCCCCACTATCAACACCCTACAGGTTACCATTGACCAGAAACTCAACTGGCCTTGGCACATAAGCATAGTGACTACAAGAGCAGTTCAGAGGTAAGAAATACACTGGTGAGTAACTTATTTCTTGACTCCCCTATCAATCATGTACGAGACACAAGTCAGGAGTGTGTTGGAATACTCCCCACTTGCCTGGATGGGTGCAGCTCCAACAACAATCAAGAAGTTTGCAGGACAAAGCAACCCACTTGATTGGCACCACATCCACAAACATCCCCTCCCTCCACCAACAACGCTCAGTTGCAGCAGGATGTACTATCTACAAGATGCATTATCCCCAACATTATGTGGGAATCTCTCATCCAAGCCTGAACAATTTGGAGAGGTAGCATCCACAAAGGAACATAAAGTACATTTTGAGCATCTTCAACAGGCCAGGTGAAGAACAAGCAAAAAACAGTGGAAGGTCTGTGAAAACTCAAGCATCCCACCACCTGGTTCAGCAAGCACCATGTGCCCCAGTTGTGACTATTTTTGAAGACCCAGTATTGAACTGTTTTAGTCACCTCAGTGCCCACGTGACTGGAATAGAAGAAAGTCATCAAGGGGCTGCCTAAGAGGAAACAGATATTCTCAAAATTGGTTCCTGTTCTCCAAAAATGAAAGAGTATAGCTTTTTGTTTAAATGTGATTTGCAAATTTGTTTTGAGGAAATAATGAGATGACCTTTTATAGACATTCTGTGAAATAGATTGGATGGGTAAAACCAGAATACTGTATGCTTTCTCACAGAAGGTAAACTTGTATTTGAAGATCTGTAACTTAGGTGTCAGTTTGGCTTAGTGACAGTACTGTGTCCTGTAAATCAGAAATCTACAGATTCAAGCCCTGTACCAATTTTGAAACAAGATGTTGTTAGTGCCCCAACTACCTGTAAGCATCCTTTCAAGCCACTTACCATCCCAACTTGGAAATATATCATGTTCATTCAGTCACTGGGTCAAAATCCTGGAACTTCCTCGCTAATGACATTTTGGGCATATCTACACAAAATAGATTGCAGCAGTTTGAGAAGACAGCCTACTGCCATCTTCAATTAGGGATGGACATAATTTAAAAAAAAACAATACTGAGGGATTGTGCTTCTATGAGAGGTGTTTTCCTTTACTAAGACCTTAAGATGAGGGCTCTTTCCACTCATGTCAATGTGAAAGTTTCCATTTGAGGAAAATCACTCCAAAAAATGTAATTGGTCATTTATTTATTTGCTGTTTGTGGGATTTGGCAGCTAAACTTGAGTAAAATCAAATGTGAAAGTACTCAATTGAAGGTGAGTTAATTTCAGTGAGGTGAAAGGGATCTGGCCCCATAGCTTTTATCAAAGATTTATGTAGAACACAGCAATGTATTTTCTTTGAAGAAACATTCCGAGCACAGGTAACGCAGATAAGAAGGGCATCCAAAACTAGAACTGGAAATGGGGAGTAGGCAGGAGATTGAAACTAGGAAATAGAACCAGTTGCAGGTACGATAGGCCGAATGGCCTGCTCTGTAACGATTCTGTGTAATCTCGGATCACACAATTAACTACCTCACAGTCCTGTGACAGTGCAGATACTGCTCCGTCGTTCAAATTCGAGCTCTTAGGGTAATAAGCCTGAACCAGAATCCAGAACAAGGTTTTTTTTCCCCGGGTGGACTGGCTGTTGCCCTTTGCACACCTCCTGTTCACAGAGAGCCTGCCTTCCTCAGTGCTGATCAGGTGACAGGATAATAAACAATAAATAGCTGAAAGCCGTTCCTACACTGGTTCACAAACCTTGCACTGAAACACTAGACAGCATGAGGGCTAAGCTGAACAAGGTGCTTGCTGTTGCAGGGATGCTTTTATTAATTTCCACCATGACGGTAAGGAACTATTTTTAAAATGAAAGTATGATTCTCACACCTCGATAACTCATTTTAATAATTTAGAAAACAACAGGCGAAAAAAAAATACACATTCGTCCGAACCGGAAAACAAACTGTGGCTCAGCAAGAGTTATATCCGGTCAGATAGGAAACCTCAAAGTATGTCTCAAAGTTGGACTTGCAGTTAGGCAGAATATCTGATGCTGCCGTGCGGGACCAAAAATAGGATAAGTTAGTATTTGCAAGCTAAAAACCTGAAGAACTGCAGGTGCTGTAAATCAGGAACAAAAACAGAAGTTGCTGGAAAAGCTCAACAGGTCTGGCAGCATCTGTGAGGAGAAAATCTGAGGAAGGGTCACCGGACCTGACACGTTAACTCTTGAGTTTTCTTCACAGATGCTGCCGGACCTGCTGAGCTTTTCTAGCAACTTCTGTTTTTGTTAGTATTTGCAAGCTATTGGGGGTTCGTTGCAAAAGAAAACCCCATGTAGTAAGCTGCAAAGGTCTTGCGTGAATAAGGTAGACACAGGAGGCCACGACCCTCTAAATCTAATCTTCTTTTCATGAATATATAACTATGACTTTTTCTTTTAAAGAACTGACGTTTTCCCACGCCAGAAGGAAGGAGTCATACAATATTTTGGTGGTAAACTAAAACCTGTAAAAAGATAAAAATTTTCAGAGAGGGACAAAGACATGTAGAAATCGAACTGTTAATGTTTCCGTCATAGTAACTACGTTTTGCATTTTAGAAGAAATATAAACGTTCAATTGTGTTTTTCAAGAATACAATGCCACTTCAAGGCAGCTTAGCGATATTGAGTAAACTCGTATGGGAACTGGAAGCAGTTACATTTGAGTGTCGTTAAAAATACTTATTTCACGGAATTACCCCATTTTCAAATGTATTGATAAAACTCTACCAGGTTATGTGATCAAGGAGTGCTCTCAAATAGGGAGAGGAAAAAAAATACACATCTTAATAGAACACATTTCTCAAACTAGTTATGGTGGCATTTTGAGTTCTGAGAAGGGGTCACTCGACCCGAAACGTTAACTCTGCTCCCTGTCCAGAGATGCTGCCAGACCTGCTGAGCTTTTCCAGCAATTTCTGTTTTGTTTTTCCTGTGTTTTAATTTGAAGTTTAATTGATACACTGTCGCAATTGCCATCGAAGTGAACCTCCAGCCGAAGAAAAGTAAATAGCGAAAAAGTACAAGGAAATCCTCCATACGTCGAAGAAAATTCTTCTAACTCCCAAACGGGAGAGTATAATTGCCGTTTTTAAGAGGTTCTGGGAATGACCAGTTCTGGCAACATTTGGGGAGAGACAAAAGGATGTGTTCAGGTCCACCAAGTATTCCCTGTATTTTCTGTTTTTTTTTTAAATAGCGTCCTAATTAAAACGATTTTTTGCCTTACGAACAGCATTCTAATGAGAATCTAAAAGGCGAACTGTCCGACATGAATTTACACTTTATATTAAATGCCGGTTTTGTCCAGTAAACCGGGTATTTCAGGGATTCAGTTGTGCGTTGCACAATTTGGATAGCGATAGCATTACGAAAGGTGCTGAATCACAAAGTCTCTATCGTCCTACTGGACCACAGGGCTACTCGGCAGAGAGACGCCTGGTGGTATTTAAGCTGAGGGTCAACCCGCTCGAGGCAAGGAGAGAGCTCGATAACGACAGTCCTTCGTGGTAACCTCGGCAGGTGCGGAAATTCAAACCATGCAGTCAGCCTGGCCCTACATCATGAACCAGCCATTCAGCCAACTGAGCTAAACTCAAACCAGCGTACAGCAAGTCCTACAATGAGAGGGGACAGTGCTCGGCCTAGCCTTTAGGGAACAAAGCAGGCAAGCCCTTGGAGTGTCAGTGGGAGAGCACTTCAGTGATAGTGGGCAGAAATAAAGGGTTTAAATTGAAAGAAGGGTTGGTTTAATTACAGCAGAACGGTGTCTAGCCAAAGTGGACTAGAAGCAGTTACTTATCGGAAAATCTATACTGGAGCGGTAAGAATCTTTCAAAAAAATGGTGGAAACGCAGGGTTAATATGTTCCTTGTCCTAGTCTTCACCTTTTACCAAATATTCTCGAACGCTAGACAGAAGAATAAATAGTATTAGATGAGGAAAAGAGAAGCTTAAGTGGGACTAGATTAGTTTAGGATATCGGGTCAGCATGGACGAGTTGGACCAAAGGGTCTGTTTCCATGCCGTACACCTGTCTGACTAGATGTGGATAAGTGTACTGTAGTTAATATAAGACTTTTAACAAGGTCCCACATGGGACACTAGTCAAGAAGGTAAGAGCCCATGGGATCCAGGGCAGTTTGACAAATAGGATCCAAAGGGACTTTGAGGCAGGAGGTAGAGGGTGACAGTCAGACACTGCTTTTGAGTGGAAACCTGTATCTAGTGGCATACCTAGGGTTGGGTGCTGGGTCACTTGCTGTTTGTAGTGTACATTAATTATCTAGGCATGAATTTAAGAAGCTTGATCAGGAAGTTTGCAGATGACAAGACATTTGGTAGTGTAACAGGCAGGAGGAAAACCATAGGGTACAGGCCAGACATAGAGGGGGCTGATCTGATGGGGAATAGTAAAGGGAATTTAATTCTGCAAAGGGAGATGTGGTGCTCTTTGGGAGGACAAGCAAGGCAAAGGAGTAGACAATGAATGGTAGGAACCCAGGAAGTGCAGATGATCAGAGGATCCACAGTTTATATATCTGCAAGTCTTGGAAGACAACTGGACAGATAGATAAGAGGATAAAGATGATATATTGGAAATTTACCTTCATTAGTCAAAGCATTGAATACAAAGCAGGAAGGCTATAAGGGAGCTGTATAAAACATGAAGTGATGGCTGGAGTAATGCGTACAGCTCTGGTCACCACTCTTTGAGGATGTGACTGTGCTAACAAGGTTGCAGAGGAAATTCAGCAAGATGCCACCTCAGCTACAGTGTTTCAGCAATGAAGAGAAACTAGACAGTCTGAGGTCATTTAACTTAGAGCAGAGAAAGCTGGGTGTGGGGGTGGGGTCTGCTTGAGGTGTACAGAATTACGAGGGGAAGAAACTGTTCCCGTTAGCAGAGGGATCAATAACCAGGGATATAGATGGAAGGTAAAAGGACAGGAGGTTTAGAGAGGATTTACAGAGGAATTGTTTTCACTCAAAGGGTGGTACATATTGGAAACTCACTGCCCGAAAGTGTAGATGGACATTTTAAGTATTTAGTAATTACTAAGCATGGCTTAGCAGGAAAGCATTGATGAATGTTCCAGCAGCCCAAAGGTTGAAGCTTTACTCTGAAAATGAAGTTAAGGCTTTAGTCTTTCCTATGTTAGACCATAAATTCATAGAGCTGTACAGCTTGGAAACAGACTCTTCAGTCCAAGTTGTCCATGCCAACCAGATATCCTTAATTAATCTAATCCCATTTTCCAGCATTTAACCCATTTCTCGCTAAACCATTCCTATTCATATACCCATACAGATGCCTTTTAAAATGTTGTAATTGTACCAGCCTCTACCACTTCATCTGGCAGCTCATTCCATACACACACCACCCTGCGTGAAAACGTTGCCCCTTCAGGTCTCTTAAAATATCTTTCTCCTCTCACCTATGTGCTCTATTTTTGAACTCCCCCATTCTGGGGAAAAGACCTTGGCTAATAACCCTATCCATTTCCCCCATGATTTTATAAGCCTCTTTAAAGGTCATCCCTCAGCCTCTGCTGCTCCAGGGAAAATAGCCCCAGCCTATTCAGCCTCTCCCTGTAGCTCAAATCATCCAATTCCAGCAACATCCTTGTAAATCTTTTCTAAGCACTTTCAAGTTTCACACCAGGGGAATAAAATTTACAGAAGTTAATAAAAGCTAGAGTTAAACTCAGTTACTAGATGTATGGACTTTACATGAATATGTACAATTAGCTCCGGTAGTGGAGCAGTTTCAGCAAAAGGTCCTTTAAGACTTTGCATTTATACATTGGGACAAATGTATAAAAACAGAAACATGGAGACACAGGAACAGGAGTCGGTCATTCAGTCCATTGAGCCTGCTTTGCCACTTAATACAAAAATGGCTGTTGAACACTTCAATACATTTTAACCCATCTACCCCCATAACCCTGTATGCCATTGATAATCAAAAAATTATTAAACTCTAATTTAAACATAAAGATTGAGCTTCTGCAGCCCTCTGGGACAGAGAATTCTAAAGATTCACCATTGTCTGATTAAAAATATTCTCCTAATCTCAGTCCAAAATGGTATCCCTCTTAAAATGTGGTCCTTGGTTCTAGACTCCCAAGCAGATTTTTTTTTTTTTTTTTAAAATAAAAACTTACCTGCAACTACCCTAAATATCATTTTAAGTATTTTCTAAGTTTCAATCAAAACTTCTCTTATTCTGCAGAACTTGAGAATACGGGCCCCGATTGCCCAACCACACTGCACAGGATATGCTTACTGTCATGGGAACAAGTCTGGTGAACCTTGCTCTCGGTCTATGGCAATAATATCTTTTCCAAAACAGAGGCAAAACTGCACACAGTACTCCAGATGCTGTCTATCCAAACTCCTGCACAACTTAAAATGGAGAGGAAATAAAAATAAGGATATTTAACAAAACCAAAAGTCTTGAGAAAGCAAGGTCAAAAAGGCAGAGACATTTTAGGAATTGAATTCATGGGACTGTACAGTTGAAATCCTAGCTTCCTTTTAATAAACAATTTAACTACCTCTTCCCTTTCTGAAGTTTTTCTCCCCTTTATTTTCCATGCCCAATTGATTAAATCACCAGGGTTAATAGACAACAAGTTAGCCATCTTCTTAAGCACTTTGGATGAGGTGAGGTAAGGCAACATTACTTTATATGCAAAGCCTTATGATGGCCCAGAGACCAACTAGATGAAACCAATTCTCAAACTGGTCCAAAATAAGAAGAAGAATTGTGGATGTTGGAGATCTGAAACAAGCAAAAACAGAAATGCTGGAATCATTGAACTTTAAAATGTTTATTGTTTTCCCTCTACAGATGGTGCCAGACCTGCTGAGTTTCTCCAACTGGTCCTTCGGACAGAAAGTAAACAAACAGTCTGCTGGGTTGCCAAGTTTATCATTAGTTGCATGAACTCTATGATATGGCTTGGGGGAGGTGATGACTTAGTGGTATTATCACTGGACCGTTAACCCAGAGACCCAGATAATGTTCTGGGGACCTAGGTTTGAATCCCACCATGGCAGATGGTGGAGTTTGAATTTTAATAAAATCTGGAAGTCTAATGTTGACCACGGTTCCATCAGACTGTCAAAAAAAACCCATGCCCCTTAGGGAAGGAAAGTGCCATCCTTACCTGGTCTGGCCTACTTGTGACTCCAGACCCACAGCAATGTGGTTGATCATTAACTGCCCTCTGGGCAATTAGAGTTGAGCATTAAATGTTGGCCTAACCAACGACACCCTCATCGCATGAATGAATAATTTAAAAAGAAATTGAAAGCTTTCAAGCATGTTCATATGGAAAGTGCTCGTTAACCAGATAAATCAAGATTTGCCAATCAGGACAGTGATATTAAAATCTGATAAATGGTCGTAATCTGTTGAATAGTTTCCATGATTTCTCAACAAACAAAGTGAAGGCAATTACTTGTCAGAAAATTAATTTGTGAACTGACAAATATGCAGATTAAAAAAGTCAATTGAAAAAGTTTGTCATGTAGAATTCATTTGATTAGAACAATTAAGCATTGACACTAAAATATGTATAACACAATTATTTGTAGGTGCAGTTGGCTCCAGTTTCTGACAATCAGAAACCACTAGTTCAGCGGATTAAGAGATCAATGCTTTGGCGCTGGATTACTCAGAGACCCAATGGTGCAACTTGCAGGGTGGATGCTGAATGCATCACCAATTACTGTGCAATTCAGGATACGTATGTATTCAAATACAATTCCTATGATTGCAACTCTCTTATCAAAACAAAGCGTTTTAGTAAGATCCTAAGAAATCTCTGGTTCTAACACATTCGGGGGACATATCATTTACAAAGCATAACTTCAGTAGTATTACAACAAATGGCAGTTTTGTCAGTAAATTAATTTTATTACCATGGCACAAGGTTTAGAGCATGTTTTTAAACTTGGCATCAAGAAAATACAACATAGGAGAAACAAAGAAAATCTTGGGTTACAAAATCCATTTTGTTCTTGACATTTGGGGGGAAAAAGGTCTTGTTGATCCCCAGATGTTAACAAGTCATAGACTGAAACATTCAGACTATACTGCACACAGTTTTACACTGCTTCTTCATACATCTTGGCAATAGGAGCTTAAGTGATTCATTAATATTAGTTAGGGTTTGATTTTGATTAACTACCAATATTTAAAACTGAGTAGGAAATCTATCCTTCATCTTTCATGCTGGAGTAGTTTAAGCATTACAGGAATTAGTTTGCTTTTCTACAGCATGTTCCTGGAAAATGAAGACTTTGTTTTTACCTGTCCCAACACAAAATTCTGACCTATGACCATGAAGCAATATACTGTACTTCTGCTCAGATGAGGCACAGTACATTTTTCCACTTCAGGGACACTCATTTAGGGCAATAGGATGATATGCATAGAAAGTGAATTGTTGGAGTTTGTTAAAATTATATACATTTGCATATCCTATTTTACATTGTCTTGCAGATGTATTCCAGCTAGACAGCCTGGTAGCAACAAACTTAAGGGTTATGGTAAATGTTGGACAATATTGGAGTTCTGCAAGCATAGTTGGAGCACAGTCAATACTGTACCTGTTGTCGCCATCTGGAAGGACACACTGTGATAAGATCCATCAATTATTGGGAAATACAGTGACACTAATTCATATACACCTCACTCCAAACTCCTGTAGTAGTATTACTGTCTATGCTAGCCACCTTCAGTCAATAGATACATTGAAATTCCTACAGCTTCATGCAATACAAGTTTGATGTTAAAGCCAATCTCAGAAGTAGGGTTTGGGCTATTTGCTGGTCATGCAAGCTTGATGCCAAAATAGGACACACAGCTATCTTATGGATCAATGGCAACTGCAAATCAAGTCATTGCTTGCTGTTCATCTTGCAAACTTATATAAATACCTAAGACCACCACTTTCCATCCAAATACAGGTGAAATTTACTAAATAATCCAGAGTGTGCAAAGAATTAAATGAACCAATCAATTTAAGATAATTAAAGTTCACATGACTCACTGAAGTTTGCTAGAAGATACAGGCAATCAAAACACAGGGCACTGTCCCTTGCAAGCAAAGTAAGTTTATCAGTACCCAATTTTTCTTATCATAGAATCCATACACTGTGTGGAAGCAGGCCAAATCGACCCATCAAGTCCACACCGCCCCTCCAAAGAGCAGTCCACCCAGACCCACCCCCAACCCTATCCCAGTAACCCTGCATTTCCCACAGCTAACCCACTTAGCCTACACATCCCTGGTCTCGATAGACAATTTAGCATGGCCAATCCACCTTACCCCCACATCTATGGACTGTGGGAGGAAACCAGAACATGCAGAGGAAACCCACGCAGACACAGGGAGAATGTGCAAACTCCACACAGTCACCCAAGGCTGGAATTGAACTCATGTCTCTGGTGCTGAGAGGCACCAGACAATACAAATTATTGCCCCCTTTGAAATCTGGTATGGCACCCCTCCTGATGATTGCAGGTCAAAAGTCTTCTACAGAAAGTTGGTTTTCAGCAACACCATCGACTGTTCCATACTATCAACTATTTGTACCTCCTCTCTGTCTCGCTCATTCCTTTTGATTAATAGCTTTTCTCATGTTTCCTTCCTGGATTAGTATACCAGTAAGTATTCCAATGAATAGACATTTGAGGTGTATGCTGAAGCACTGATAACCAGCCGTGAGAATATCTAGAATAGCTTGTACTTATAGAGTCGGTTGAAGTACAATGTGAACCAATACAATTTGTGAATGAGTATTTCTCCCGTTGCAGGATTTCAATATGTTCATTACAAACATTCTCAGCCTAAGCCAGTGGACAAGAAGGTCCAAACATCATTATTTTGAAGTAAAGAAACCACGCTTTGGAAACTACTCATTTTCACTCTTCCAAAAATGATCTTTGGATTCAAAACTACTTCACTTCCCTGAAAGTCAAGGAAATCTCTAGCCACAGAAGAAGAATACTGACGGCATAATCACTCAGTGGCCTGAGGTGATTTTGAGAGTGATTCTAACACATACTGTGGAAATTGCTGATTTGCCACAACCTACTGGATGATCTTGTACTGTGAAACTGTACAGGCATATTTGTATGATTAAAGTGCACACATTAAATAGCATATTTTTTATTAATATTTTGGAAATAACATTACGATTACATACATTCTGCAGTGCCAAACATGGGTCAGTACATCATAAAAACTGCTTGAATGAAGTGTTGTGCTTATATTTTTTAAAAAAAATCAAAAAAATTATCTAAAACATCTTAATCCATATTAAAATATATACAGAGTGCACTACTTGGCATACAGGGTGAAGGTGAGTAAGGCCGGTCCTAAACAGAAATTTACAGTTGCTTTCTTGAAAATTTAGATCATATTTTGGACAGTGCTTAGCATCACATTATTGGCCTAAACGTAGAAGGCCAAGTTCAGAAATTTAACCATGACATACCATTGGTAAGTACAGTTGCTGGGACAGATTCAAGGGTGGATGTTAACTTGATTATTAACCACCCTAGTAAATGATGAGCTAACATGTTAACAACGTCTACAAAATATTAATTTGATACATAGTGTAACTTGGATCCTTAAATTGCTTTTGTTCATGCACTAAAGTTTTGAAATGCCACAATTCATTGGCAAAACTCTCTACATTACATGAATATGCCAGCGGTGATGTGAATAGTAAACTGCCCACAATTCCACTAGTGGATTCACCAGAATACAAAACACAGGAATAAGAGGGAGGGATGTGTAAATAACAATATGTCCTTCCTCATATCTTTTCTATTACATTCTGAATTAAGTCATATACAACTGAACTGATGATGGCTGGGGTGTAATTAAAGACAAACAGTACACAGAGACACCAACAAAATCCAAATTTATACGTAGAGACAGAACATTGTTTGGCACTGACATTCCTCATTAATTTGACTACCTTCTTTCTCCCCCAAATATGAGCAAAACCATTTTTTCCACCTGATCTCATAAATACTTTGATATTATTGACTGTAGCATCATTACTCTCTTTTCTAATATCACAAGAGGTGTATTTACAAAAAATACTTTCCAGTCCATATGGCGAGTGCAGAAGTAAATATAAGTGCAGCTAAGGGATGGGGGAAAATGAAGGAAGGATGTTATTTAGGAATAAGTGTTCTCATCTGAACAAACCAGATCTCTCTAAAACAGAAGAAAACACCCAACCTGTAACCACGATCATTAAAGTCAAATAAGCTAAGTTACATATACTTCAATATATACACAAATAAAACTTATTCAAAAACCTCACAGTGCCAAATACAACATTGCTATGACAGTACACTTCATCATAACTAAACACAGATCTTAAGCAAATGCTTGGTTACAGAAGTTCTGCCTTTACAAACTAAAGTCATAGTGGTCAACACTGCAAAACTGCAATAGGTAATTCATTTAAAAATCATAATTATTACTTAAATTTATAAAAGCTGCATTTGATACTTGAAGTAGTGTTATATACCAAAGTATAATTTCGCAAGCTGAACCTTGAAAACTTATTAGTTATGTCAGTAGAATTTAACATTATAGATAACACATTGTGCTCTGTGAGACTTGGAAACCTGTGGTAATTCTAGAATGTGTCAAAGAAAACAAACGTGCATCCTTTGCATAGTTTCTCTCAACCAGGCTGCAGAAATACTGGCATGAAGTTTCAAGATGGTTTCAAAAGGGGTGTCCTTTCTGCCTCTGATGCCTGTTTATGAAAAAAATATATTTCATTATAAAACTACAAGAATAAAGCAAGAGAAGTATGCACCATTGACCATGCCAACAAACTCCTGAGGAAGGTAAATGCTTCCTCACTGACATATCCACTCTCTTTTCCTTCCAAAACCCATGAACTAAGGATAAATCACTCAGTAATTTACATCATCACAGCTTACCTTTTCACTCAGCTCCTTCCCAGATGATCTCTCCTCTTGCCATCATACATTACCAAGCCCTCCACTTTGCCAGCCTACTTTGGCCTCTCTACTCTTAAGACTTGATCACAAGTCAGGTCATACCTAATTTCTTCCTTGTGTTTGATACTATTCACAGCCCCTTTCTAATGTATGCTTTTCTACATCTCTTCCTGAATAAACTTTTCAGCAAGTTACTGACCATTGCACTTTAAAACTACCATCTGGACTTTTGTTATGCATTTTACTGTCTTTGTAATTTGTCAATTTGTTCCATCATTCCCTCATCCTCACATCTGAAGTACAGAGGTTTATAAAATCATGAGGAGTCATGGATGGGGTAAATAGACAAGGTCTTTTCCCCCATGGTGGGGGGAGTCCAAAACTAGAGGGCACAAGGTTTAAGGCGAGAGGGGAAAGATTTAAAAGGGACCTGAGGCGCAACTTTTTCATGCAGAGTGTGGTGCATGTATGGAATGAGCTGCCAGAGGAAGTGGTGGAGGCTGGTACAGTTACAACATTTAAAAGACATCTGGATGGGTATACGAATAGAAAGGGTTGAGAGAGATATGGGCCAAATGCTGGCAAACGGGACTAGATTTTAGGATATCTGGTCAGCATGGATGAGTTGGACCGAAGGGTCTGTTTTCCATGTGTACAGCTCTGTGACTCTACAGTAAAACACTTATTTTCTCCCATTCTATTTGATCCTCTGATTATGTCCCATCTTTACCCTCTCAGGTTCAAGGCAATGCAATGGATTTTCCCCATCTATAACCAGATATGGCTGGACTCCGTCAAGCAAAATCAGATCACGATAAAACTGTATACGCCAAAATGATTGGAAAAGTAACTATAACTCTCCGTTTCTTTTCTCCAGCACAACTTTCAAACTTTCTCAATAACAACGAACTCAGAATTCTCTGTCACCAAGATTCAGACTATTCATTTAGCACTCTTTATCTTGCCCCTGCCTCGGCATTGAACCCATTTTCTCAGTCTGGATTTTGAGAAAAACCTTGAAGATTCCATAAGGGAAGTTAATCATTGAAGGGAAGTTCATCTGATATCCTGACCAATATTTTAATCAAGTAACAGAGAACTCTTGTTGCAATTTGTACAGTCAAGTCTACCATTTTACATTAATAGTTAATTCCAGTTTGAGTTAACATTCCTCCGTCAACCATTAGTTAAGTCCTCATTTGATGAGCAAGAAACATCCCTCGAGAAACTTGAAAATAATGGTGATATGTAAAATGTTTTTGGTGCACAAGAAAGATTATGCACTGTACAAGTTAAATTCTTTGCTTCCTTACAATGTAATCTCAAGATTGGTTACAGTCCAACAGGAAAGAAAATGAACAAACTATATACAGTCCTCCCGTGAAAACTGGTGTTTTGTCACCTCATAATAGCCAATTAGTTAAGATAATTTTTGAATCTTCCTCAATAACTTCCCAAAACTCAATTTTTGACAATTATGTTGTTCCATTCAATATGCTAATTTTGATGTTTTTGTTCATTCAGGGTGTCTAGGTATAAGTGGAATGGCCAACATTTATTACCCATTCTCAAATTGGGTTAAATTTTGGTTCCTTGCCCTTATCCTAACTTTATCTTTGCATGATCCACAAATTCAATTGATCAAAGTCATACAATATAGATTCTTAAAAAAGTACTGGTGTTAAAATGGCAGAAGAATTTCAAACATTTTTAAACTTCGTTTAAAAAAAAGCAAATAAATTATTCATTAAACTTCAAGACCGTGGAAGAAGCTACTTTTTGTAAATTAAAAAAATTGCAAACAATTAAATAAGTTTGTGTTGTTGATTGTTTGGCCAAATCTCCTGTGAAAGTTAAATGTTATCCTTCCTTTTCAGAGAACATTTTGCAAGACAAGATATAGATTCACTGAAAGAACAAAATGTTTAAGTCATAGGAAAATAACAAATACTATAGCTTACAGTAACAGTTGAACCATTAAAAAGATGATGTACTCAATAAGACAGCCTCTGCCACCAAATTTCCTTCTGCAAACACCCTCCCCCACCACCACCACCACTACATTCTGGACACTGAAAATAGTCTGGCTTATTTTTTTTTTAAAAATGAATTTCAACACTGTTCTCAAAGTTTACGACTAGGACCAAGGACAAAGATTAAGAGAGGTCATCAAATACGTGGGGAAAAGATGGAACTCTCATAATAGCGATTATTTTTCAAATTCTTAAACTGTAATGGTGGATTTAAACATGTGCACACTGAAAATTCGTTCACATCTGTGATTATTAGGCCTGTAGCATCACCACTAAGTGCCTGAAATCTAAACAATCAGACGTAATGTTTATTAAATTGGGTCTGTTAAGAAATATATTGTGTTTTAATACTGTTGTGCCTAAGTGAAGTTCTCATTTTGAACTCCTGTTGCACCATCATATACAGAGCTTTCACTTGGAAGGGGACGTTTGATAACATCACAGGCAGGATCGTTGAATCATGAATTCTCTATTTCTCAATGTCTTCTGTTGAGAAATTCGCTGCTGGGATGAGGAAAAGAATATGCCCTCCATCAAAATGTCACCCAAGTTCTGACACCTCTAATAGATACGAGCAAATAAGCTTTTTTTCAAGCAAGTTTAAGGAATAAGGCAACACAATTAGTCTTTTCTCTGAAGAAGAGCTTTATCAGGCAAGATAAAGTTACAAACTAGAAGCTTTGGTCACACAAAAACTGTTGTCAACATAATGGAGACACAATTAATGCAGGTAGAGACGTGTTAAAAATAGGCATATATTGTCTATTTTCTTTGATCAGAACAGTATTTGTGAACTTTTTGTTTTACCTAGCTAATGGAGGGATGTGGGTGGAGAAAGTGATGTTTGATTGGTTTGGTGAATTTTATCAGTTAAATGTGCACAAGTTGCGTTTGTTGGGGTTACAACAAAATGCTACATGCAGCAAATAGTACATCATTCATCAGTGGAAATTTAGGCCAGGGCAATGAGGTGTTGCATTATGAAACAGTGCAAACACTCAAAGATACAGGACCTGTTATTTTTGGCTCATTCTTTCAATGATTCAATGGTTACAAGAGTGGCAATTTGTAAGGTGCAGATGGCACTGGATCTGAAGTTAGAAAACAGCACAAGCCAGCAGACTGAAGCAGAAACTTGCTTGCTCTGTACAGGTTATCACTCCTCAACTAAAATTAACAGAAGTAATTCAATCAGGTTAATAAGTATCCTATATGCCACCATAAGATTCATGTTGAATGGAATATAACCAGGGGGCAGCAAAATCAGAGCACTTTTCATATACATCATGAACACATACCTCATTAACCTCATTGCGATTAGTGCACACAAGTATGACAAAGATCAAACCAAAGAGAATCCCCAAACCCATTATCATAAATGGAATCACAGTGACTACTTTGGACTGCAGGAGCATGGAATTCAACTTAGCAGCTGATGCATTGTCAATCAAAACACTCTGGAACAAGAGAGAAAAAAAAACATGAAGCAAAAGCAAAACTGAAAGAAACAGGAAATAAAAATCTACTGGACAAGGTAATCACAATCTACAATACAAATATTTATTGTTCTGAAAACAGCAAAACCATAAGCTGGTTCACTGCAATAAATTGTTCCACACTATCCACATTAATTTAATAGCCAACAGCCACTTGGTAAGTATACACACTTTTGATGGAATAGCAGAACTACTTGTAAAGCAGACCATATATTAGTGAGGTAGCAAGAATTGCAGATGCTGGAGTCAGAGATAACAAAGTGTGCAGCTGGAGGAACACAGCAGCCCGAGCAGCATCAGGGGAAAGGGAAAGCTGATGTTTCGGTTAGGACCGTATATAAAGTCATTTTAATTCTATAATTGCAATGTACAGTGTCTCCACTCCAATTCTTTGCTCTGCCTTTGGAATAGAGCAGTATCAACAACAATGCTTTCCAAATTTTTCCCCGTTCTGACACATCAAAATTGGGTGACTGGAGTGAGGGGGAGGAGTTTACTGTAGGTCTTTTTAAATATTATTAATTCTGCCTGTTTTCTGTTAATCTCAATGCACTGAAGTTACTTCCCAAAAATGCGACATCCATATTTAAAAAAGTCAAGATATTGTTTCTTGCATTCTTGAAAATGGATGACTCCTATCAATGGAAACACATTGCCACATCAAAACAAAAATTAAATGCAGCAGCCTAATATGATCCTAATCAGTCAATGTGATACACTCAGAATGTGGATTAGCAAGAAACATTATTAAATTAAAAAACTAGGGCAATTTGGAAAAAGGAAATCACAAGGTAGAGGAACTGGGTGGATAAACTCTTCAGAATGGACAGCAAGGGAAAACAATGGGAACATACAGGTGCCACCAGTCCTGTAATTTTGGGGGCTTCATGCTCCAGGTCCAGTTTGCATGGGAATGTCTGCAAGGATCTTAAAGTGTCCCAACAATAGTCTGCAAACTCAGGTTTTGGGAGTTTGGAATTCAGATGGGATAACAGTTAGCAAATGGCAATCTAAAAACAAGCCTAAAGAAAAAGTGAATCAAAGTGTGAAATTAACACTAACAGTCTGCACCATCCAGGCCTGACCTCAATCAGTTTCTCCCCCAACGTTAAATGGGTTGGTGACCCACAGCTTACGAAGTGCTGTTCTATGGCATTGTCTTGCTTTGTCACTGGAGAGAAAAGTATTCTAGACTGTCCATACTTTAGGCCTCTAAATATCAATTCTTGATGAACAGATTCAGTACTCAACATGGCAGTTCAACCAGCATTTTGTCTGCGGAATGGGAACAGTCTCAATTAAATGATGCATGTTGCAATTTTGAAACTTGGAAACCATCCAACTCCCTCCCACCTCACTCAGTGAAACAGTAAATGAGACCTTGGGTCAGAAATGATTGCAGAGGTATGAAATGAAAATCCATTGGAAGACAATTTAGTGAGTTAGAAACATTAGTAGTTACAGCAAGGCACTTGGATAGTTTCCCTTGTAAAAGAGAAATCATATTTGACAAATCTACTGGAATTATTTGAAGGAGTATGTGCCGTCAATAAAGCAGAACTGGATGACATACTGTACTTAGACTTCCAAAAGACAAATGATAAAGTGCCTCATCGAATACATGGTTGTATGTTCGCAAAGGTTATTGAGGCAAATGAAAGCTCATGGTATAGGAGGTAACATATTGGCATAGGTGAAAGATGGTTGGCTAAAAGGAAGCAATTAGGAGTCATAAATGGGTCTCTTCCTGATTGGCAAGGTGTTACAAGTGGTATGCCATGAACATCATTACTGGGACCTCAACTGTTTACAACTTATACAAATGACTTGGATGAAAGGACAAAAGGTATGGTTGCCAAATTTACTGATGACAAAGATAGGTAGGAAAGTAAATTGTGAAGAGGACTTAAGGAAGCTACAAAAATATACAGATAGATTAAGCGAGTGGGTAAAGACGTGGCAAATAGAGAAAATGGGAAATTGTTATTTTTGGTAGGCAGCATAAAAAGAAAGCATATTGTTTAAATGGTGTGAAACAGCGGAGCTCAGGAGGTGCAGAGGGAACTGGTTGCTCTTGTGAATGAATTGTACAAGGTTAGTATGCAGGAACAGCAAGTAACAAGGAAACCTAATGGAAAACAATGATCATTTATCATAATAAGAATTTAATACAAAAGTAGGAAGGGTATGCTCGAATTTTGCAGGGCTCAAGGAGGAATGGAGTGAATTGACAGTCAGAAATGGTTTACTCAACTAATACACTGAATGGGGGCTAGTTGTGTGAAGAGGAAAGGGTGGAGAGGCTAGGCTTGTACCTTCTGGAGTTTAGAAGAGTAAATGGTGTCATGATTGAATCACGCAAGATCCTGAGTGGTCTTGCCCAGATAGATATGGAGTGGCTGTTTAGCACTGTATATAAATCAGTGTTACTCATTTAAAACAGATATAGCCTTTTTTTCCCTCTCTAAGAGGGTCAAGAGCTTTTGGAACTCTCTCCAATGTAATAACAGTAGAAGCAGAGTCTTTGAACATCTAACAATCCTCAAACATCTTTAAGGCAGAAGTAGATAGATTCTTGTTAAGCAAGGGTGTGAAAGGTCATCAAGAGAAGGCAGGAATGTAGATTGGAGATTACAATCAAACCAGTCATTATCCTATTAAACGGCAGGGCAGGCTTATACAGCTGAAAGGTCTACTCTCGCTCCTAATTCTTTTATTTATATGGAATAGATTAGTGCCTTCACATACTGGCAATAGTATTTGTATCATCAACCTGACGAATGAGATTTAATTAGTCTTACCTCATTGAGGTACATCACAGGAAACACAAGTGTTTGGACATTCTCAGTCTGACTGCAAAAGTAAAGCAGAAAATTTTAGTAATAACTAGAAAATATTCCTTTCAATTTCTGTCCTCTACAGTTTTACAAAGTCACCTTCCTTCTACTGCTCTCCTTTGAGGACAAACAACTGAACATGGAATTATTGGGCACTTTTTAAATCTTTGCACAGGTTAGCAGATTTAGCAGGGCAGAAGTGGATGGATTGTATATACTGAGGAAGAAAGGGGAACGGGCATCACTGCTCAACTGCCAGTCCTCAACCACTGCGGACCTATCAGGGTGGGCTGGATAGTAATGAGAAGGAATCCATTCTTGCATTCCACATCGCCTGTTGTGCAAGTCAAAAGCACTGGAGACAATTGAAACATCCATCATTCTGAATGATAGCGAATGCACTACACGCGTGACTTCGGACTATAACATAGGTCACTATATTAATATATGCACTGAACACATCGAGTCGGCTTTAGCAGCGATGCAAAAACAAGACACACTTAAAATAAAGCTTCTGCAATTGAAAAAAAAAACTATTCCTGCTTCCAAGTACAAGTATCTGAAAATGGTATGAATCCAACACATGCCATCCATTTCTTTTAAAATTTTACACTCTTGGACCTTTATTTATGCCAATGGACCTAGGATAACACCTACATCCTTACTTTAACCCTAAACATTGTTACAATCCTTGTCGAGACCAGCTCTCTCCTCTCTACTTTACCTGGGTGAATCTTCCAGTGACCTTTTAAAAGACATCCCTTCACCTCAGACCTTCTGATTGCAATTGAATGGATGTCTCATTGCCAGGGACCCTCTGGTGATTCTGTGCAATTTAACCATTGCTTGGTGGTTAACCTACAGCACGTTTTGTGGATTTTCATCCTCTAAAGTCTTAGTCTGACAGCCTCTGGGCTGCGTGAAGTTGCAACAGCCTTCTCCTGCGTGCCCCGAGGCTAAAGCATGGGCCTCCATTTTCATACTGTATTAGGTGCTGGCAAGTAGGACTAGTGTAGATTTAATGCAGCCTTGACAGTACACACGATGGGATGAAGAGCCCCTTCTGTACTGTATGACTCTACCTTTGACCTGGGCTTCTCTTCTCATGGCAACCAGGTGACATGGATTTCTCTCTAGGCAGACTTTGTACGAGGTCACATGCTTCTCTTCACTCTTCTATTATATGATTGATTGAATTCAATCAGTTTAAAATACAAATCACAGCATACATTCTGTACTGCCGAGAATATTTCCATGCAAGAGATGAATAAAATATAACTCCTCTATAATGCTCAGTTGTCATTACAACATATTTTGCCAATGCTTCAGGCACAATTCAGTTCTGAATTACATTAGTTACAGTTTCATATTAGGCCATAAATGAAGTTATGTATCTTGTAGGTAACAGCAACAAAATGTCGAGAGGTCTTATAACCTATATCTACTATATAAAAATATAGTTGGACAATGAAGAGTCACACAATGAAAGGCAAAATTGTCATGATCCACCACAAATTTTTTTTTTGGAAATGAAATCACTTAGAATAGAATAGTATGTAAAGTATCATTTTGGTATAACAATGCAGTAGTAGGTTGTTCACGTGGTTGGGCAGTGAAATACAAAAATTTCTGTTGCCAAACAGTTGGTGATTCTTGCTTTTTTTTAAAAAAAAAAGATTGGATGGGAATTTAAACCACATTTCAAGAATTTCTTTTGGAATATAGCCCTTTGCCTGCCCGACAGAGCCCAATGCTCTGTAAAAATTGCCTTGGATCACAGACAAAAATCAAAAATGCATATGACATTATCTTTTAAATATTATAGTCTTGGGGAATCAATTAACTTCTTTGCATTATGCAGAGGGGCAAGGTTTATACTGATGCTCCCAAACTTGCACTTCAGGTGCAGCAGGCAAGAAATTTAAATCTCAACTCTGGTATGTTTAGAAGGCTTTATCTGGATCACTAGTCAACTTGTGCCATTTGCCATCCTTCTTCAGTTTATTCATTAATGAAGCAACACAAATTTACATTCTCACTTTGAAACCTTCACGAAAAGAAATTAAGAACTGGCTGTAAGTACCAACTCAAGTGGAAACCAGGACATGAAAAGCTGCATAATGTGTCCTAGAATACTTAAGATAAATGAGAGTTATAGCCGAGAGAGAAAAGTAGTGAGAAAATAAAATGGGAAAGCTAAAGAATAATGTGGTAAGCAAAGCTGAAGTAATGAAAACGTCATTTTCAGTTCTAAGATAGTACAACACAAACTACTGTGGCAGTTTTAGTAACTTATTAACATTATTTCACCTTCACTGTACACAAGCTTAAAACATACAAAATCAAATGGTCCAAAAAGGCTAAAATTTCATCGATCTACTGCAGGTTAAGGAGTTTGATCAGTTGCCCTTATCACTGGACTGAAATTTTAAATCCACGAGGTCTGCACATCTGCAATGCAATCGAGAAGGTGCTGCAACTGAAATTTTCTGGTGCAGTACATTTAAAAATTAAATGCCATACAAGGCAGAAGTAAAAATGATAAGTGTGCAAAAGGAGACCAATTCAATTGTTTGCACAATTACAATGCATGATCACATTAGTTAGATGTATTTGGTTTGGTGGAATTCTTTTGTAGATCAGTTTCTGAAAAACTGTTTGAATAAACTAGAAAAAGAGCACTCAAAAGGATAGTGGAAGTTTTAAGACACTGATGCAAGGAACAACATATTTCCATGTTGCCTTTTGACAATATCTACTAACTAGACTGCACTTTATAACTTACTTCAGTTCCATCAACTCACAGTCATTGCACTGAACTGTAAAATGATTACAGGTCATCTCACAAAGTGACTTACATAAGTACATAACCATTATATAATTGGATCAGTACCATAAAAAACATACCTTTAGTGACAGAAAACTACCGAAAAACATGATAGATAAAAATTGACATCAACTAAGAAAAGACTTATCAAGAGAGATGACTAAGAGAAAGAGATGGCCAAGAGTGGTCAGTTTTTAATGAGGGTCTTTAAAAGGAGGGAGAGCGAGATTTAGAGATGTATGGTCAAGAATTCCAAAAGGCGAGTGCCTGGAGAGCTCACGTCACTGCTAACAACAGAGTTAAGAAGGTGTTAGGTGCCTCATCGAGTGTGAGCTTCAATTCTTGCACTTAAGTCTGGAGTGGGATTTAAACCCATAATCTTTTGATTTGGAGACCAGAGTATCAATAATTGATACTCCAGAAGGGTGTGTAGGTTTCCAACAAAGAATAAGAGAAGGAAGACTGCATCATCTGCAAAGGCAGAAGGCAGAAACACTGCAAGGTGGTCCCAATCATTCTGGTTCAACACATCACTGACGTCCGAACATTGACCCATCAAAAACATTCAAATAATGATGGTGCCTCTCCAGGTTCTCACTTTAAGCCAAGTCACACATAGGTTTCCACCAAGGTCCATTTGCCAAGTTCTGAGATGACGGAGAATTGGTGACAGGGGCAGGGCTATGAACCTGGGAGCCCTTAGACAAGGATATTCACACAGGCAACAGATCCATAAAGGTCATTGTCTGAATGACTGAATACCATCTCCCACACCATATCCTCTTTTCTCAACTCTCAGATAACTAATGTTCCAGAGTAAAACTAATAAAATGTTTCAGAGACACTTGTTCTCAATGGAATGCATCCTTAATGACTGTAAGGAGCTCACGACTAATATCTTCAATGATGAAAATTTGTCCATCAAGCAGCATCATGGTTAGAGTCTAAATGCCTTAATGAAGGAAAAAAAAAAGCAAATCTTTTACTCTGGTTCTCACTGACTCATGGGTCATCCTGCCCCAAAAGCCCAAAGATCGGTGGGTCTTGGATCAGAAATCATAGAATCCCTACAGTGTGGAGGCAGGCCATTTGTCCCATTGAGTCCACCTGTCAATCCTATCTACGTAACCCCACATTTCCCATGGCAAATCCACCCAACTTGCACATCTTTGGACTGTGGGAGGAAACCAGTGCACCCGCAGGAAACCCGCACAGACACGGGGAGAACGTGCAAACTCCACACAGACGGTCACCGGAATTGAAACTGGGACCCCGGCACCGTGAGGTAGCACCCCATGCACTTGTCAACATGCACAACTGTGAATAGAATTCTCAACACCAAAGCTTGATTAAATAGACAAGAAAATAATTTACTGACCTATAGAATTAAAATGTTATGCATGGAAACGTGAGTACACTTACAACAAACCAGTGTAGCTGTGGTCATCATTTAAAGTGTGGAAAGATACATTGTATAGTGTTATAAAAAATTATTGACCAACATCTTCAAATTTATGATCTGCATTTCACCTGCCAAGTTAGCCATGAATAAACAGATTTCACAAATGGGTGGAACCCTAAAAACTATTGATTTAATAAAAGATCCACACACAGAAGTCACAAAAATTATAGCAGCACCCCCAAGTGTTAACTGACTGGGAACAGCAGAAGCAGCCTCCATTAATTCATGCATGGGATGTGTGCATTGCTAGGCGAGGCCAGCCCCAACAGCCCAACAAGCAGTTAATCATACACTACGTTAATATGGGTCTGGAGTCACGTGTAGTCCAGACCAGGTAAGGACAGCAATTTTCTTTCCTAAAGAACATTATTGAACCACATGGGGTCTTTTAATCTGACAATCAACAATAGTTTCAAGGTCATCAGGAGACTCCTAATTGTAAATAGTTACTCAATTCAAATTCTACCATGGCAGGATTTGAACCAGAGTTACCAGAACAGTACCAGGGTCTCTGGACTAACAGTCTAATGATACCACTAGGCCATCACCTATCCTTGGCTGATACAATAATATCTGTGATGCAAAGTGATGGTGCACCACCACAGTGCACAGTGCTACAAGCAACAGTGGAAGTGACAAAAGATCCCTGTGTCAGCAGCTGCACAAACATAAGCTGTGGTGTTCAGAGCTCAAGTGGTGCCTGAAATCACTGAGATGCATCTGTGAG